ATTTGTGCCCATCATTATTATAGCTGATGTTTTTCTGGCTTCGTTCACTGCTTGCTAATGCTGGGACTCAACCTCTATTGTTGCTCTCATGCATATTTTGGGAATTGAGCTGTTTCTGTCCTGCTCTCAATACTTTTTTGTCTGCACTATCTAAAGTCAGACTTCACTTATTTGGTTTGCCAGCTGGTTTGTAAATATGGGGATGTTCTATAGAGAAGTTTTCTCTATAGATCCTGACAACCTTCTGTGACATGAGTACTGATGTTTTAATTTCTTGGTTTTTGGTGATGAAGAGCTTTAGTTTCTCTCCGAGTTGTGAAAAGCACATATGAAGGACACTGGTATCTTTGTGAGAAAGGATCCAAGGAGTAATGTTTATGGGATCTTGTAAAGAGGCTGCTGTGAGGTGGTTAATGAGCCTTGACGCATGCAGCCCTTTTCTGATTGAAAGGATTTCTGAATGGCACTAATAAAATTGCTGCCTTATAAACTGGAAAATCCCTGGCGGTGCTGTTCTGGTTTTGATGAAACACTGAATCTAGGGTGCTATTTTTTGAGCATGCTGCCTAAGTCTCCCTCTTATAGGGGTGAAACTCTCCCTTCTATCTAACCACAGCTTCACAGAAGGATCCCAGTGGAAGATTTTTAGCTGTAAAATTTCCTGAACACAGATTTATTCTGTTATAGTCTTGGAGGTACTTGGCTGCTGAACATTATCTAGGAAAAAACAAGTTATAAACTGATGGGCTGACTATTACCACTAACTGGTGATAGAAAGTATCAATATCAGTCTTAACTGGTATGCTCAAGTTATTGTTATCTTTTAGAAGCAACGTGTGCCTCCTGTATTGTCTAGACTGGTATCTGGCATTTCTGAGAAGTTGTGGTATTTGATTTATAGCTTATCAGAAGAAGGAGATACCAAGTAAAAGTGTTGATTAAATGTTTGTGATTCTATTTCTGGGCTAATATCTCTACCAAGTAGAGCAGTGCAGGGCTAATCTTGACTCTGAAGTTACTGACATGGTATCTGATGCTGTGAGCATTGGCACAAATTGTTTGGTACTTGCCACTTTAATGTGCTTTCCTTTTGCTGCCAAAAAATGGCTTCCAAATGCTTAAGGGTCAGTGTTTCATTGTAGGGGGGGGTTTGTTGGTGTTTGTTTTTTTTTTTTAAACTGCTTGTTGGTTTGAGTTTTTTTTCCATCTTCTTGGCAAGCAAAACCTTGACCTTACTGGAAGTTTGGCAACTTTAGCAGTGCTTACAAACATAAAAGTAAAGGAGGGGGAGGCATGCTCTGATGACCAGAGATTCAGAGCACTTAGCATGTGCCTGCCTGCCTCTAGGGATTCACAAGGCAACTTGAGGACTTAAAAATATCCTTTTTCTTTTCTTCCCCTCTCTTCACAGGTCCCCAGTTGTAAGCCACAATGTCGCAAAGAGATGCAGATAAGTACCTTTATGTGGACAAAAACATCATTAATAACCCCCTGACTCAGGCTGACTGGGCAGCCAAGAAGCTGGTATGGGTTCCCTCAGAGAAGAATGGGTTCGAGGCAGCTAGCCTGAAGGAAGAAGTAGGAGATGAAGCCATCGTGGAACTGGCAGAGAATGGGAAGAAAGTGAAAGTAAATAAGGATGACATCCAGAAGATGAACCCTCCCAAATTCTCTAAAGTAGAAGATATGGCAGAGTTGACATGCCTGAATGAGGCTTCTGTGCTTCACAACTTGAAGGAGAGATACTACTCAGGACTGATCTATGTAAGTAATCTTGTCTGTTGGGATATGGGTTCTTGGTTTCATAGTATGTGAACTTACTGTAATCACTTTGCTCCTAAATGTGTGTGTTTCATTGCCCCTGTACGTAACTCTCATGTAACTTAACTTCTTCCCTCTACTTAAAATTCTGTCACTAAACTATGCCAATACCCCTCGAGTTAATGTTGCAGCTTTCAAGGAATGCTGTGGTAAATCCTCCTTTAATATTTGCATGTCTTCGATTGCCTTTTAACATTTTTCTTTTAGCATGGCACAAGAGCAGTTGGATAGTCATAAACGGGGAGTCCAATTTTGAGGTAAACAGGAATAAAAACACAGCCCTAATACACCCAGCACTGAACTGCATTTTCCATGCCTGGAGCTTCAGTGGGAGAGAACCCTACTGCCATGCTTTCTGTGTTACAAAAATTCTGGATCTCAGAGAAGCAATTGGTTCCTACTAGAGAAGGAGCATATGTGCATACAGATAGGAAATGTTTCCTTCTCTTTCCACTCCAAAATGGGTAAGAGCAGAGATTCCTGCTTCTAATTGCTATGTAAATGATAAAATATACCATTTATGGAACCAAAGGTCATACCCAATTAAACAGGCAGCAACCACTTCACTGAAGTAGCAAAGGCAATAAATAGGGAAAGGCAGGGCAAGGAGACTTTGGAACCTTGACCTGGTTCTTCAGTTCCCTTCTGATTTTCCTTTTCATGTTGCCTGTGTTTAGCCAGCAGATGTTGGGCCTGCTAGCCTTTACTTTATTAATACTCTGCAGTCATAAATGAATTATTAAACTGTAAAATTTGGGTGCAGTGACTGGTTAAAACAGGAACTAGTGTTCCTTGGTTTGTTTATTCTCAACTAGGCCCTGCCTACAGGGTTCAAATAGGACTGCCTGAGATGGAACCCCAAGGGATGTAGAAATACTGGATGTTCAGTATTTTTAGGCACTGTGAAAATTTTTTCACAGTATATTAGAAGATCTACTAAAATAAAATATATTAAAGAGCAAATTTTGTATGTAAACATGTATATTAAGAGTCCTTGTAAAAAGTCTGTCTAGGTACCCCACCACCACATTTTGTCCTGCCAAAACCTAAAAGCTGACTCTCTTGTCTTTTGGAGAGGACAGTACGAGTGAAAACTCTCTGCAATATCTGTCTGTATGTTTTGGGGTTGGTTTTTTGGTTTTTTTATTTGGATGCTTACTACTCTGTCATAACCACAGGGCTATTGTCTTTCATGTAGTCATCTAATGTGAAAGCTATAGATGGTATCTTCTGCCCTAACAGGAACTGGTGGTGTCTGAGACACCACACAGCAGGA